ATGGAAGTGTGGTGGTGGCATCTTGTGTGGCTCTCATGGGTGTGGGTCTGGTGTCCTTCTTCATGTTAGGTACTCGTCTGTTCATGAGGGCGGGTTTCCAAATGGCTGGAAGGCGGGAGGTGTCATCTCGTTTGTTCATGCTGTGTGGGCGTTTTTCTATCTCTATGGCTTCTCTGATTATTCTGCTGTTGAAGTGTTCGGTTTTGGCGATGGTTCTGGTATTTTTAAAGTCAATCTCATGTTCTGTGGTTTTGAGGTGTTGGACCAGGGAGGAGGTCGTTTCTTCTTTTTTGATTGAGTTCTTATGTTCTTCAATACGTGCACTTATTCTTCTGTTCGTTTGTCCAATGTATGTGGCGGGGCAGGCAGTGCAGGGGATTTCATATACTCCTTGGTTTTCTAATTCGATTTTGTCTTTGGGGTTTCTTAGGAGGGTGGATATTTTTCTGTCCCACCCCCACTAGCAGTTAAAAGGAAGAAGCAGCTGCAATCTCACATCAGTCTGAGAAGCAAGAGCCGGACAGAAGCCTGAAGATGATGAATGAGACTTCATCGAAACGTTGCCTAGATACTTCGAATCTTACGCGGGAGAAAACCCGAACGACCAAAGATCCATATATATATATATATATATATATATATATATATTAAGAAGGGTGTTCAAAGAATGTATGTATGTATGTATGTATATTCTTTGAAGTGGCCTTCTGGCCTCGACTGCTTTTAATCGAGGATTAAAGGATACCAGGGAAGGCATCCTCTGTCTGCCACATGTTAGGCTTCCAACTTCTTCAAACTCAGCCAGCGTGGCAGATGTTGAAGACCTCAAGAGGCAGAGTCGACTAAAACAGCAGAAGGACTCCCAGTTGTTCCTTTTATGCTTAGATTAAATTAAATAGCAATAGCACTTGGACTTATATACCGCTTCACAGTGTTTTATACAGACCTCTCCAAGTAGTTTACAGAGCCAGCCTCTTGCCTCCAACAATCTTGAGTCCTCACCTTATTGACCTCGAAAGGATGGAAGGCTGAGTCAACCTTCAGCCCGATCAGGATCGGACTCCAGGCTGGGGGCAAAGTTTGCCTACAATATTGCACGCCACCACTGCACCACCGGGACTCCTAGCCCTCTTAAAAGCTAGCCCTCTTACAAATTAACTGATTTTTATTTGGTTTTTAGACTGAGTCAGTCTTGTGATGCACAGCAGTTGCAACATCGGAATAAGAATAGCCAGATTAAAACACCCATATAAGCCAAATCTCCCAAGCGATGAGAAATAAATAAACAAAGAGGCACAGGTGAAGTTACTGAAATGTGCTTTTACAAAGCTCTCATTTTTCATAACTTCCTAAACTTCCAGGGGATGGAGAGGAAATCAGTCTGGTCTCCAGGGAGTCCATGCTATGCTGTCGGTACCGCTATGGAGAAGCATCTTCGGAGGGTGGAGCTACAAGGTGCCTCCCTTTTACATTGGGTTTCTTCTGCCTGTAGCCTTGACGTTCTCACAGCAAAATAGGCACCTGTATATATATATATAGGCCCCTTCATGGGTTGCTGCCTTGTTGTGGCGAAGGGGCTTTCCTACCTCAATGAAGCTTATGAGTTCTGCTGTGCAGGGCCACCCAAGATGGACAGGTCATAGCGGAGAGGCCTGACAAAATGTTACCCACTGGAGAAGGAAATGACAACCCACCCATTTGGACAGTACCAAAAGGCAAAAAGATACGACGCCGGAAGATGAGCCCCTCAGGTCAGAAGGTGTCCAATGTGCTACTGGGGAAGAGCAGAGGGCAAGTCCTAGTAGCGCCAGAAAGAGTGAAGCGACTGGGCCAAAGCCGAAAGGACGTTCAGCTGTGGATGCATCTGGTAGTGAAAGGGAAGTAAAAATGCGTGAGCTTAAATGGACTCCAGAAGAAGGCCTGGAGGAACATTGTCCACGGGGTCACGATGGGTCGAACATGACTTCGCAACTAACAACAAAAAATATAGATTTGCTTCTGTGGTTTCCACTTCCTCTGTCCCTTTGAAGGTCTCTTCCCCTGATCTTGTATCCAAGTTGCAAAACCACTTTTTTAAATAGTAAGCTTGACTATTTTAAGAATAGCAACAGCACTTAGACTTATATACTGGTTCACAGTGCTTTGCAGCCCTCTCTAAGCGGTGTACAGAGTCATCCTATGGCCTCCAACTATCTGAGTCCTCATTTTACCCACCTCAGAAGGATGGAAAGAAGCTGGAAGCCCTGTAATTTTAGTCTTGGTTCATCTCTGATTGGAGAGCCCAAAGCTCAGGAATGTTGGCTTTTATTTGACCAGGATGGTAGCTGAAAAAAAAATGGTAGTCCATGAGTTTTGTAATTAAGCTTACTTAATTTTTGGTGAGCCCTATCTTTTGGGCATGTCCCCAAAGAAGAGGCGAGCTAAGAAGAAAGGGCAATTCAGAAGATCTTGTTCTTCACCAGTTATCTCAGTGATATCCTTGCTAGAGCTGGTCTCACGCTGAAGTGCTCTCGATGTTAAACCACAACTCTGAAAATCCTTGGTCATGCTAGGGTTGAGGTTGATGGGAACCGGAGACCAAGCCCATCAACTTTTGCCGATCAACTTCCTGCTTTGCATGGGGAAGAGATTTTTGATCCAGGCAAAAAGAGTCTTTAAGTGCTCTTTATGGAAAAAAATGTACATTTGAGAAAGCATCTCCTTTGGAACAGTGCCTCCGAGATTGGTAAATATTAACCAGGCCATGAGAATGCTCCGCTTGCAGGATCAGAAAAGGAACTTCCGCTGCCACCTTGACTGAAATCCAACTGTTGCTTTTCAGTGTCACCCCTAACCACCTTGGCTAAAGTGAAACAAGACCGTTGGGTTGACGTTGGTGGCCGAAAGCAACCAGGAAGTTCCTTCTCACTCACACATGTCCCTGTTCTGATGTCGCTGTAACTGCTCCTGGGTGCTCAGCAGGTACATATCCACAAAGGAGAACAGCTCATCGGGTGTCACTGGTTGGATGAAACGGTCACGGTCGATGCCGTCTTTGTCAATCAACACGACGTTGAAGCGAGATTGGCTGATGTGCAGGAGCTGCCTGCAGAAGCAAGGTTTCAAAGAAATAGTGATTAGGCCATCAGCTCTTTTGCTCAATGGACGCTTAGAGAAGATAGCAAAAAACCAGGAGAAGGTGTTCTGACCCTCGCCTTTTTCCAACAAATCAAACACAATCCAAAGGGAACAGAAACCTTGTAATGCTTCTGCAAAATAATTAGCTGTGATAAGCACAAGCCTTGCCAAACTGCGAGACTTGCCAAAAGATAACAGACAAGAAATAATTTGCAATACTAGAATCTTCAGATAACAAACTCAGGATACTGGATTGTCCACGAGGCTGGAGTTTCAAAATGCCTTTGCTTCCTGCAAAGAACGTTTGCTTCACAGCTGGCTTTTAACTTCTTGAAGGAGGGGCCATTACCTTGCAGCCTTACTCCCGAGTCGCCCGTGCTGTTGCAGCTGCTCTTTCCTACGGGCAGCCCTGTGCGCACGCACACTTGGCACAGGCTCCTCGGGAACCTCCTCATCACTGCTGCCAGCCCCCACAATCTCTGAAGGCAGCAGTCCACTCCCTAATGGTCCTGGTCCCTCATCTGTGTCTTCGCTCTCCTCAGCCATCCGCACCTGTTTGCTGGCTAACCACAACAGAAGATGTTGCATGCAAAATTCAGTGGCTGGGTGGGGGAAGATCTCAGGCCTGGCTAGTTGGTCCCTATTGCAGTGTCTGCAAGCTGAGCCAAATCTGTTCCTTATCCTCCAGAAATCTGTTTTACCTGTTTTTTTAGATTAAAGCAGGTTGGATCCCTGGATGGGCTGCTCTCTAATCTAAAACATTGTTTCTCAATCTTGCCAGCTTTAAGATGTGTGGGCAGCACAGAATAGGTAGATGTCATAGACATGTTGGCTGGGGTATTCTGGGTCTTGGAAGTCCACATCTGTTAAAAGTTGCCCAAGGCTGAGAAATACTTCTCTAAAGCAATGAGCAGGACTAGAACAAAAATAGGACTGCGCCCTTTTGGAGAGCCAGATGTGGTTCTAAAGTGGTCTTCTCACTTCCATGTTTCTCACTATTATCTGGTGCCATAAGTGGATTACACCCTATGCATTGGAGTCCTTGATGGTCTCTGAGCTTGGTGGTTTTCCTGCAGACATTTCAGTACTCAACTAGGGAACATCTGAAGAACATCTCAAGATGTTTGCCTAGCTGGGTAATGAAACATCTGCAAGAAAACAACCAAGCTCAGAGACTACCAAGAACTCACCAACCTTGAGCTACAAATACTCTCTTCTGGTTTTTTTTGGAAACTTATTTCTTTTTAAAAGCTTTTTGATTACAGTCACTTTTCCTGATAACTTGAAGGATGGCGAATGAGATTTCTAATTGGTTCCCTTGGCCTATACAGGGGATCGTTTATCGTAGTTTGGTTTCCACTCACCTCAGTTCTTCAACTATCTTTTGGGAGAGTTGGAGTTCCCGGATGCGCCCCACACCACGAGGTGGCAAACCCACCAGTTCAATCACAGTCATGTGACGCATGTCCAACCCACAGGTTGCTTGCTGCAATGGAGAAAATAAACAATACAGCTGCAAAGAGCCTTGTAGCTACGGAGGACAGCAGGGACCAGGGAAGATCATAGATTCATAGGGCTGGAAGGGACCTTGGGAGGGTTGGGCTGCTGGAGGTTAATGAGTTCGGGAGAACCCCTAGCTAAGATTCTGCACAGTTTAGGGAATCCCCAAAGCCCCACCCACTTCACCCTGCCCCTCCCAGGAGAAGGCCCATTTTGATTGCAGGTAAGTGAAAGGTGCGCGCGGAAATTTGAAGAGGGCAAAAAACGGGCCTCCCCGAAATTCAGGAAGGCTGGAAATGGGCCCGTTTCTGGCTTTCAGAGAGCCTCCGGAGCCTGGGGAGGGCAAAAATGCCCCGCCTACCTTGGTGCAGGAGGCCAACTGGGCCACGCCCACCATGGCCATGCCCATCCAGCAATTAGGCAGAGAATCAGTTGCTAACATTTTTGAAGCCTTGTGGTCCAACCCCTCCGGTCAGTCTTACTTGCAACATGGCATTCTGCATCTTGTAGTAGCGGTCCGAGGAGTCGGGAGCCGAGACGACCAGCAGCCGGCGTTTTTCATAAAACTGATCCAAAAGGCCCGTGACCGAGTTGACGTCCACGTTGATCTGCATGGCTTCGGGAAAAAGACGACCAAGCAGAGAGAGATTCTTTGGCTCGTGAATATTCTCAGTCATCCACATCATGGTTGTCCCAAAGGTGCTTTTTTTTTTTCCCCAAGAGGCAATTGGACTTCCTGGTTTTTCTTTGAAGATGTTTCACTTCTCATCCCAAGAAGCTTCTTCATCTCTGCTCCTTCAGCTTCTCTGAAGAAGCTTCTTGGGATGAGAAGCGAAACGTCTTCAAACAAAAACCAGGAAGTCCAGCTGCCTCTTGGGAAATAAAAAGCATCTTTTGAGATCCTTTGGTTCCTTTCATTTTTCCTTCCACTGTTCCATGTCAGTTATCTAAATGGCTCTAATCCTGGCATCCAAACATGTTTTACTAACTGTGCTGTGTTGAAAGAAATAGGAATAGCACTTAGACTTATATACTGCTTTACAAGGCTTTACAGCCCTCTCTAAGCGGTTTACAGAGTTGGCCTCTTGCCCCCAACAATTTTGGTCCTCATTTTACCCACTTCGAAAGGACGGAAGGCTGAGTCAACCTTCAGCCTGGTGAGGTTTGAACTGCCAAATATCAGGCAGCCAGCAGGCAGCAGAATAAGCCATGCTTTGATGAATACATCACCATCAGTACGTTCATCTATCATAGATAGATAGCATGGATTACAAGGGCAGCTGATTCTCACGGTACAAGAAGCGCTGACAATCTGGAGTAGCACATTGTCCCAACTTGGCTTGAAAGCTGGGCCTAAAAGCCAATTCTGCAAACGCCAATTACAGCTGGTCAAGATCAGACTGCTGGCAGTGGGCAGAATTAGCCTGCAACACTGCATTCTAACCACTGGGAGGGAAGGAAAGAGGGAAGGAAGGAAGGAAGGGCAACAGCACTTAGATTTATATACCAGTTCACAGTGCTTTTGCAGCCCACTCTAAGTGGTTTACAGAGTCAGCCTCTTGCCCCCAACAATCTGGGTCCTCATTTGACCCACCTTGGAAGGATGGAAGGCTGAGTCAACCTTGAGCCTGGTGAGATTTTGAACTGCCAAATTGCAGTCAGCAGAAGTAGCCTGCAGTACTGCATTCTAACCACTTTGCCACTATGGCTCAGAAAAGCTTTTGTGGGAAAGCAACCCACAAGCTCATTGATGATTGCTAATGGCGGCTTAGTGTTGACTTGCCCAACAAACCATTTTTAATTGTTAAAAAATGCACAGGTTGGCAGGATGGGTGAAATTTGACCCTTTTGATGCCATCAATTTTGGCTCGGCTTGATTGCTTCTTGGATTACCTTTTGCATCAGGCTAAAGATCAGGGCCCTTCAAACTTGACCGCTTTAAGACTTGTGAACTTCAACTCCCAGAATTCCTTCTCCAGTCATGTTAGCTCAGGGATTCTGGGAGTTGCAAGTCCAACAAGCTTTAAACTTGCCAAGTTCGAAGAACCTAGCTAAAGATGGAAGCAGCATCTGAGCTGGATACGGAGGGTCTTAAAAATGAATCACTGAGAGACCTTTGCATCCTTCTGCATGCCCCCCCCCCCCTGTTTCAAACCCCAGATTCACTCACGGTTACACCTGGCCTGAGAACCAGACCACTGGCGGCTGGACTGGCAGACCCGTGAATGGGCCCCCTCTAGTTCATAGCCTCCATCGCATTGGTATTCGCAGGTGGCACCATAGTTGTTCCCTGCTGAAGTGCAGCTGAGATAACCATGTTCAGGCGCCTTCAAGGTGGGACAGCGGCTCACTGGAGAAGGGAAAGTCAGTTCGCCTCAAATGAGAAGGAATCCTTGGCCCAACAAAACCCAACCCTTCAGAAGAAACCCTTGGAGAAGCGGTAGAGGTGCCTGCCCAGGCGGTTACAGGAAACTCCCTCTAGCCATGTCCTATTTCTTGGAAGTATGTAGTTTTGGGGAAGGGTGAGCAAGCAAGCTACAAATGACAGGTTGGGTTCCCCTGTTGGCTACCTCAAGGATCTTCAAACTTGGCAACTTTTAAGACTTGTGGACTTCAACTCCCACCATAGCTGGCTGGAGAATTCTGGGAGTTGAAGTCCACAAGTCTTAAAAGTTGCCAAGTTTGGAGACCTCTGTTTTAGAGCATGCTTCTTTTAGGTTGGTTTGGGCTACAACTGCTGTCTTGTTCCTTACCTCGGACCCTCACCAAAAATTTGCACGTGGCTCGATTGTGCGCCTGGTCATAGACAGCATAGCGGATAAGATGCTCTCCTTCTGAAAACTCCGATCCTGGTTCTGGGCCCCGGCGTTTCAGTCTGGACTCCCAATGACAAAAGAGACTCTTAGCATAGGAGATCACAGAGCAAACTTCCTTGAACCAGAGGTGGTATCCAGCAGGTTCTGACCAGTTCTGGAGAACCGGTAGTGGAAATTTGGAGTAGTTCAGAGAACCAGCAAACACCACCTCTGTCTGGCCCCGCCAACCCCATCTATTCTCTGCCTCCCGAGTCCCAGCTGATCGGCTGGATCTCCTTTGGTTGCCCTGCACAGGAGAACGGAGCTGGAAAGCAGGTTAAAGGGGTGAGGAGGGCATGGGGATTTTACAGTAACCTTCCCCTGCCACGCTCACCAAGCCTCACCACTTGCATAGAACTGGTAGTAAAAAATGTTGAATCCCACCACTGCCTTGAACCCTTCAATGTCCCCATTGAGCTCACTTTTTGATGACGCCATCAGCAGAATCTTTTGCACGGGGTGGATCCCAATAAACGACGGCGCTCAGTTTGCCCGGTTCTGCTATTCGCTCTCGAGAATCCGGGCACCGTATTTGAGGAGGCTCTATGTCTGTTTGGGAAAACGGGAGAAGAATTTCATGGGAAGGGGCAGCAAAAGAATTGCTAATTATTTCCTTGCTGTTTCAACGCACCTCTAACGCCTGTTTTGCAGTTAAATGTCAAATTTGAGATCACCTCTCACTTTATGGCCTGCAGTGAAACACTTAATGACTGAATGGGACGTGGCATCGATCTATCACATCTATCTATCAATCTATCCTGGGATGTTTTGCTCATCATTGGTCCCCATTGTGGTTATTAAGTGAGGATTACCTGCACGCTAAACAAAGGAATGGTGTCTTGACGGTTCTGCAGCTCTCCCCAATGACAAACACTTAGATATTTTAAGGGGTTCTTTTTTTTAAAAAAAAAAAGGCAAATAAGAAAAAATATTGGTGGGCCAGGATAATATGAACGTTGTTCCTCTTGGTTCAGTGAGCAAGTTACCAATTGCCTCATATGGTGTTTTCCCTTTTGAGGTTGGTGGTTTTAAGGATGACCGTGGCCAACTCAAAGCTGTTTTTGTGGATTTGAGAACACAAGAGATGGTATGGTAGATATTCAGCATCCGCCCCCCCAAATAGTCACATCCTAGCAGTCACCACAGTTGGGTATGGAATACTAGGTAGCTTTGGTGTCTGGCGATTTTCAATCATGCAGGTCATAGTTTTCCCAAAGGTGCTTTTCCAAAAGGCAAGTGGTATAAGAGATGAGCTGGCTGAGCCTGAGGGAGGGGTCAAACATGTCATCAGTCTCGAGTCCTTTTGTGCCCACAAGAGATCTAATTCATCTTGAATTCCATTGATTCTTATCTACCGCCCATTTGCTTTGACTGTTAGTAGTCCAGGTTCTTGTAGAGAGCATACGCTTGCAATAAATATTTACATTCATTTTAAACTGCCTGGACTTCTGATTTTCCCATGCTTGACAATTGGACTTTCTTAGCTTTTTCCTTGAAAATATTTGCTTCCCATCCAAGAAGCTTTCTTGGAGGAGAAGCGAAATGTTTTGAAGGAAAAACCCAAGGAAGTCCAGCTGCCTTTGGAAAAAAATCACCTTTGGGACATAGGTAGCTTTGGAGAAATAAAGATGATGAGCTCCAGTTTGGAGCAACAGCTTCACATTTATAAGCCACAGGTGAGCCAAACTGACGACTTCTTCCTTTGGACTCAGACTGGAAGGAGGACAGCCCTGGAAGGGTGAGAATTTACCTACACAATTTGGCACGCTACCGCTCCAGCGCCCTTCTTCCATGCACACACGGCTGCGATCACCTTCTAGATGGTACCCCAGTTGGCAGCTGTAGTGACAGTGAGAATCAATCTTTACCCCATTGGAGCAGTGATATGAGCCGTACTGAAGTGCCGGCAATGTGTGACATCGAATCTCTGCAGAGAGAGAGAGAGAGAGAGAATCTAAACGTTACTGACTGATTTATATCCCACTTTGTAAGGAATTCACGTTCTCTCCAACTGTGGTGAAGCAGACTGTCTTGAGACTGAACAATTGGGCCAGCATGAATGGCAGATGCAAAGAAACCAGGAAGCAGGATAGCATTTAAAAGTACTACAAGTGTGTTTCATGCAAATATACACAAGAATCAAGGCAGCCAAGGTGAATTGGTGCCAGAGAAAAGTCAATGAACTTCAAGGAGGGCTGGATTTCGGTCTCTTACGGCGACGTAGAGATTCCAGACTAATGATGCATTTGACCCTCCCTTCAGGTTCAACCTGGTCATCTACAATGAACGTGAAGCTGGTCCTAAGTACAGTCCAGCATTCTTGTGGCAATACCTCCTTGTTTTTCCGTTCCCTCTTTTCTGGATGCTTTCCACCCAAAGTTAAAGCCTTCGCTTTGCAATGAAAATGTACCATCGGTTCAAGCCTGTTTAGTGTTTCACTCTATAGCTTGGACACCGTTACTAGATACATTCCCTCCAAGATAGTCAAAATTTACTGACTGCCATTTTCATCCAGTTGCCTAGGGCTTAAATCCCATCCTTTTAAGAGCTTGAGGCATGATTTTGGCTCTATTCCAGTTTTTCCAAAAAGTGAATGGGACAATAAAAATTTAGGCCAGCATATTCCTGGAATGATTAGAAAAAGGACTAGTTCAAGTATTTTTCGAAAGAACTGGTTGATCTTGTCCAGGCATTGTGCTAAAGTACAGTAAGATTTTAGATAGCCATAGTGATATCTGTAGTATGTGAATCTGGGCTATTTCCAATAAAATGGAATGGAATAGGAATAGGAATAGGAATAAGAATAAGAATAGAATAGAATAGAATAGAATAGAATAGAATAGAATAGAATAGAATAGAATAGAAGCAGGAGGAGGAGGAGGAGGAGGAGGAGGAGGAGGAGGAGGAGAAGGAGAAGGAGAAGGAGAAGGAGAAGGGAATTAGAACAGAATAGGAAGGGAAGGGAGAAGGAGAAAGAAGGAGAAGAAGAGAATTAAAAGAGAATGGGAAGGGAAGGGAGAAGAGGAAGGGAGAAGAGAGTTGGAAGGGACCTTGGAGGTCTTCTAGTCCAGCCAAATTATGGCTTCTTATAATCCATAAACCAAACTCTTGCCTACTTAACTTGCAAGACCTCAAACTTTGGATACCTCTCTTGGTGGCTTGATGGCACCTACCCAACTGATAATAGATTATCTTGGTGTCAGTGGGGACTGACTTCAGAGGGAAATACTCACGTCTACAGTAGATAATCCCAGACCAGTGGCGGTTCAATAAGCATTTCACAGACCTCGGGCCGATCAGGCGATACCCACGGTTGCAGGAGAGCGCACAGCGTGTCCCCAGGCTGCTGTGGTAATTTCCTCCACGGGGTGAATAGCAGGTAGCCTCCCCGTTGTAAATGATTAGTGGATGACACCACCGAGGAACTAAGGGGAGGAGGGGCGGAGAGAAAGGACCATATGGATTAGAACAGAGGTCCCCAAACTTGGCAATTTAGGCTAGAGACTTCTGGGAGTTGAAGTCCACAAGTCTTAAAGTTGCCAACTTTGGAGACCTCTGGATTAGATCTCTTATGATCTCATGCATTACTTGCTTCTGTAGAACTATCAATGACTCTGCTCCAGCTTTGACAAAAAGACAGAGCTGAAAAACAAGATTTTCTTTACAGTGATGACCAAATCATATTTTCTCATTCTGTGTAGGTCCATTGGGTCCTATGTTATCAATTAATATTAATAATGGATTGTCATTTGGTTCTTGGTATGGCGTAGCTTTGTTTCATTGCAACTTATGCATGGAACAACAATTGGAAAAGGCAGGATGTACTGTACGTACAAGTAAGTAAACAATGGTTCCATTGTAACACTAGAAAAAGAGAGGAAGAATTGTCATGACCATTATTTCCTTGCACTATATCAGTCCTCCATTCAGTTTATCGCCTATTCTGACCAGAAATTCCTGCAAGAGGAGATAACAGAACAGATTAACAGAGTTGGAAGGGACCTTGTAGGTCATCTAGTCCAACTCCCCACTCAAGCAGGAGACCCACACCAATTCTGACAAATGGAAGTCCAATCTCTTCTTGAAAGGCTCAAGTGATGAAGCTCCCACAACTTCTGAAGGCAACTTCTGTTCCATTGGTTGATTGTTCTCACTATCAGAAAATTTCTCCTTATTTCCAGGTTGAATCTCTCCTTGTTCAATTTCCATCCATTGTTCCTTTGGGTACATTGGGAAACAGCTTGACCCCTTCCTTCTCTCTGTGGCAGCCCCTCAAATATTGCAACACTGCTATCCTGTCTCCCCTAGTCCTTCTCTTCACTAGACTAGCCAGGCCCAGTTCCTGCAATCGTTCATCATATGTTTTAGATGATGGATTTGACTGAGTCTTTGAATCATGGCTACAGCTAATCAAGGAGCAAACTTCTGACTACATTATGTAGAGACGTGTTGTAACATAGTGATAAGTGGAAAGCGCTCCCTGCCTTCTTAACAGATTTCTCTCATTCTTCTCTAAAAATGTCCCTGGTTTGAAAACGAAGATATAAAAAATTGACCATAGCTTTAACATTTCCCTAACCATCTGTCCCTCATTGGACATTTCATTTTGAATTGGGAAACCACAGTAAATGACTTTTGTCTGGATTATTAATTTCTTCTCTGAAGATCAGTTCTACGTTTCTGCTGGAACTTTCCAGCCACAAATTGTAGCCACTCATGGTCCCCACAAGATCCTGTAGTTGGCCAGGGAGGTGGTCGATCTAGTGGAAGGAAGGAAGTCTACTTATGGTATTTTTAAGGAACAGTGCTGTCCTGGTCTTCTTCCAAGAAGGAAATTCCAAGTGAGAACTTATATCACCAACAGCTATAGGAGAAAGCTACCCCAACATTGTAAACTTGAGGATAAGACCAGCTTTACGTTTTCAAGAGTCTAAATAATGTATCTCCTAATAGATTTACTTGATGTCAATACCACTTAAAGCAGGGCTGTCAAACTTGATTTCATTGAGGGCCACATCAGGGTTGTGTTTGACCTTGGGGGGCTGGGATGGGTGTGGCCAGGGTGGGCATGGCCAGCTCAACATCATTTTTTGTTGGGGATGCCTGTGGTGGCCTCAGTTCTCTGCCAGTGAAACAGTCTCCCAATCTCCGTTTTCGGCTGGGATGGCCTCCTGCAACCCTCTGCCAGTGAAAACCGAGCATGCGGCCCTCTCAAGTTCCGTTTTCGCTGGCAGAGGGTTGCAGGAGGCCGTTCCAGTCAAAAACAGAGATTGGGAGCCCTTTTTGCTTCAGAGGCACCACGGCAGAGGTGGTATTCAGCAGGTTCTAACCAGTTCTGGAGAACTGGTAGCGGAAATTTTGAGTAGTTTGGAGAATTGGCAAATCCCACCTCTGATTGGAGATTTTACAGTATCCTTCCCCTGCCATGCCCACCAAGCCACACCCACAGAACCGGTAGTAAACCAATTTGAATCCTACCACTGCGACCATGGGCCAATCCTTCGCTGTTTCCAGAGTAGCCCCACAGGCCAGATCTAATCACCCCACAGGCTGGATCCAGCCCACGGCCTTTCAGTTTGACACCCCTGACCTAGAGCATTGTCGCAAAGAGCTTGAAATGGCCACGTCTACCTGCGATTTAATTCCTTGAAATGCAATTATCTCCTGGTGACCCCACACGTTGAGAAATGAACGTACACTCCAACAAGGTGGAAGGACCAGATCTGACCCTGCTGGGGTCTTGGAACAATAAATCTCAGGATGGCAGCAGGTACCTTGATAATCTGGAGCAGGAACACTGGAGGCTTCCGTGAGATACACATCATCAGTTTGACTTTCTTCAGTGGAATATCTAGATCCTGAGAGAGAAAGGGAAACCATAAAACTAGGGAAAGATCTTCCTCAAAATTGCCCATTTCCAGTAGCCATGTATGATTGATTTAAGTGCTGTTGGGGATTGGTGTCACTGAAATGTCTACCTACGCAGAGGAAAGACATAATTTATGAGTCTTGTTGAATAAATGAATTTAATGTAAGGGTTTGGAAATCAACCATCAGCAATCAGTAACTGGAAATCAGGAGATGTTATTTTATTTACTTATTCTATTTATTTATTTGATTTGCCAATCACTTACAAGATAATAGGTATAAGTATAAACATGAGTAAGAATACAGGAAATAGGTATGAATAAATAGGGACAAAAGGACAGGGACAGGAGGCACAATGGTGCACTTATGCATAACAGCAAGATGGAGATTGCAGATATATGAAGCAGGGACCACAATCTTCATCATACCAATGGTAATAAATAATAGGAAGCAGCTAAACTGGGTAACAGGCAACCGAACATGGCCAGACCAGTTGTGAAAAATGCATTAAAAAAAAATCACAGTAATAATGGTTGGTTTTGGATTGGAACCGTTAGTTTGAGCACCTCGCTTCTTGATTTTTTTTTTGCGTACTTTTTTTCCTTTTCAAAACCAAAGGAAAGGAACAAAACCAAAAGTCTTGTTATGCCCATGTTGGACTCTGATTCCAAGGGAAAGGTCAAGCAGCTGACAGGGAGTGGGAGTGTGGCTCCGGTGGCTGTGGAAGAAACTGGGGAAGGTCACAGTCTGGCTGGGCCTTCAGAGGAAGACCCAGGGCCACCCCCTCTTCATCCTAGGGCATGCAGGGAGGAACGGAGAAAGGAGCAGCATGAGTTACGTGGGTTACGGGGGAGAAAAGGGCCCTGATTCCCTTCATTAGCTGCAGCTGGGAAAACAGGATTTAAAAAGGGTGTTTGCGTACAGCACCTTGCTGGAAGCAAAGCGTGAATTATCTTTGTTTGTCAAGTCTTATGTGGGTTCCGGAGTCCTCCCAACTGTGTGTATTTCATTATCTCTGCAATTCCTTATCCTGCCCTGTCCCATTAATTGCTGCAGCGGGGTTTGCGTTAGTTTTTATTTATAGCCTATATGTACTTTGGGTTCAGGCTGAATTTCTTCCCTTTAAAAACTGTTCTTGGGGGAGATTTTTCTCCAGCCAATAATAACTGGACATTGGGGGCCAAGTTAAAGGGACTTTACCTACTTTTGTGACTTTGTTGCTTTTATGCTGCACCCCGGGTCATCACAAATCTTTTACTAAGGTTTTATTAAAGTATTAGGGTTTCATCATTTTGTGCTGTAATCGAGGTGACCTTGTAAAGTTAACCTTTCCACTGCTCGGGGCAAAAGAATAAATGTCATGTTTTATTTTATTTATTTATTTGTCAAGCACGTATTAGATAACAGATATAATTGGAACATGATTATGATTACATGAAATGGGTACAAATAAAAGGGGACATTAGGACAGGGATGGTAGGCACGTTGGTGCGTTTATGCACACCCCTTACAGACCTCTTAGAAATGGGGGCAGGTCAACAGTAGACAGTCTAAGGTTAAAGTTTTGGGGGTTTGGGGAAGAAACCACAGAGTCAGGTAGTGCATTCCAGGCATTGACCACTCTGTTGCTGAAGTATATCCTGCAATCGAGTTTGGTGCAGTTTACCTTGAGTTTGTACCTATTGTGTACTCGTGTATTGTTGTGGTTGAAGGTGAAGTAGTCATTGTCGGGTAGGACATTGCAATGGATAATTTTATGTACTATGCTTAGGTCAGACCAAAGGCGGCGTAGTTCTAAGTTGTCTAAGCCCAAAATTTCAAGTCTGGTGGTATAAAGTATTCTGTTGTAAGCAGAAGAGTGGAGGACTCTTCTCGTGAAATATCTCTGGACTCTCTCAATTGTATTGATGTCCGATATGCATCAATATGTCGATATATATATATCACTGATATGTCGGAGAGTGAAAATAACTATTTGTACGTATTGCTAGTTTCAACAGGAAGCTGTTCCTAGAGCGTATCTTCTCAGAAAAGAAGTCCTGCAAAAATATCATTTTCCCCAGCAACCACTTACCGTAGATTAAGTGCATTCTGATCTATGAAGCCACAGGAGTGGCTTGGAAACAGAGCTAGCTGAGACAGAACTTCAATCTATTCATTCGAACCCACATTGTGGGCTCATGACTCTCCATTGGACTTCTTCCAATGCTTGGAACGGCTCGCTGTGCCAAGGTGTGGTTTGCTTAACCAAAGGTGATTGATCCAGTTGGCTGGATTCACACACTACGCAAACCCACAAACCACCTAAGGGGTTAGCATGTTCTGCAAAACCAGCCACGGGAGGAGAGCTCTTTGTTTATGGATATCCTTTGCTCCTCTAGATGACTCCACAGTGGTGTGGTCCTTAGTCCATGGCATTTCTCTTATGAACTTCATCGATGGAAGACCTAAAAATACTTTTGTGCCATGCCCTGGGTCATCACAGATGCAGTTCATCCTCCATGGCCGGTTCTATTTTCTGAGTCATTACGATTACCTCTTGCAGGAAGTCCTGTGCCTTTTCATCTAATTTTAGCTACACGTGACTGAAATGGGAATGTTTTATTTTTTTGCTGTAAACCCTGAAACTGTGTGTGTCTGTTTAAACCAAATGCCAGATGTTTGGCTTGCTTTGAGAGTCTCCTTGTGTTGCTAAGTGGAGGGACACTGAAACTCGGTATAGGCTGGATGCCACAAACCCTATGGTGAACATTGCAGCACAATTCCGCAAGAGCTACAAAGCATGCTACTTAAACTACTACTACTAAAAAAAAAAAAGATTTGGAAACTCTTGAGAACATGCCATCTTGCTTCATCGGAATAAAAGTACTGTTTTATTGTTTGGGGAATCTGACTGGAATGGGCAGTTTTGTTTTTCTATTTTGTTCTGGTGAAGATGTTCTCCACAGTTCTGAGAGAGGAGCAGATGAACCAGAGAGAGATGAAGAGAAAGTTCTACTTTAGATACTACATGGACCGAAGATCTTAGAAAGTGCATGGCTAGTTCGTTTCCCACTTCAAATTCCTCTAGTATCCAATTTCCAGGCCACTGGCCTCAAGGGAATGTCTGGTGTCTGCTTTACCAGCAAGGAAAGGGTTGAGTCAGCCTTCTTGAGAAATACAGTCGTTGTGTTTGTAGAATTCATAAATACAGTTGTCACAGAGTGTCCTCTGTGGAATGCAGAAAGCGGTCTCTCCTCTATGGTTCCAGCTTAGTCTTGGAAGCTATGTGGAAGGCTGAGTTGGGCTGAGTCAAACGCAGGATCTCTTTCTTAAGATTCCAATGAGCAGAGTCAGCCTGCTATGCCAGCAGCTGTTTGTAACACAACTTCAGCTAAGAAGTAGACACAAAAGTCAACATCCCCAGATGGCAGGAAAAGGATAGGGGTGTCCCCGAAGACACACAGAGAGAGTGCTGGAAAATTCTGCTCTCGCCACATAGTTTTTATTCACCGCTACTGGTGCAATGATAACCATAATTTTTGTTCTCATGGATGGACTGAGTCACCGAGGAAGACAAAGCATTTTAAAAATAAAAATCTACCCTTTTAGAGCCAATGAAAAGGACAAATACTGGGCCACATCTGAGACTAGGTGTGTTGAAAATCAGGTGGCATTTTTGGAATAAGTGTGCTCTTTGGTGAAAATAGTGGCTCAGAATGTCTATGGAGGTTGTCTGTCATCCAGGTCATGGTTGTCCCAAAGGTGCTTTTTCAAGAGACAACTGGACTTTCTGGTTTTTATTTGAAGAAGTTTCGCTTCTCATCCAGTTAGACCTGAAGAAGCTTCTTACATCAGAAACAAAACATCTTCAAAGAAAAACCAGAAAGTCCAGTTGCCTCTTGAAAAAGCGGCGGGATAGTGATTCAGAAATCCTATTTTGGTATTTCTGGAGAATTGGGACAGTGTAGCTCTTCTCATCCCACCGACTTGGCAGAGTTTCCACCGAATTCTACTGCGGTAGCAGAAACTTAATCTGATTATTCGGTGAATTGATGAAGCATCATTTAATCAGCTCTCTGTTAATCAGAGGAACACAGCTTGGGTACCAGAGGATAACGGAGCTGCTTTGACCCAGCAAACCCCTTCTTAGTCTAGAAAACTGGGGCTTAAAAGACAGGCATGATCTTTTAATTCTCATGCACGCTGAGCCAAGCAAATTGGCACCAAAGCTTCCAAAACCTGAAGAGGGAAGAAGGGTGGCCTCAAAAATATCTGCTTGTTAGCTGTAGTGACTAAGCAAAGGGATGGATTTTTAATAAGGCACACAGGCAAAATTTGCTAAGGAAGGGGGAAAATGAGTGATTCCCCCCACTCTCTTGGCTTGCGGTGTCTAACTGCTATAGACTGACCATTTGCCAAAAACTCTCTCATTGGCCTGAAGTGAGGCATGGAAACTTTTACAAAAATATAGCATTTGCTCCTGCAACCACAGGAAAGCAGTGGTGTGGGAAGAACTATATTTACTCATCTCAAGAGATAGCCCCAGCCCCATATGCTTATGTGTATCTGTCTCTCTTACCCCGTCAGAGTAGAATTCCAGATTCAGTCTGGGGGCTAAAGAATAAATGATGCCTATTTGTAGCTATCCTTCTGTTGCTTAACTTCTCGAGTTTCTATGATTGGCTCCTTTGGAGCAGAAATCTACCCAAGGTATGTATTCTCCAGGTAGAGGGGCGGTCCTTGCAGAAGGCTAGGCAGAGTTATGTCTCATATATCAATATACTCTCTGTCCCTGTGTAAAGTCAGACAAAAGATTCATTTGCGTTCATCTTGACCCATCCTATTATCCAGCAAGCAACCGGCCGAATCCCACCCCGTCCAGCAAGGAAAAACTACCATATGGACATTGTATTTATATATGCCTGGATTTGCAAGTCCTTCTAAACTGGGATTTGTTTTAACCGTGCTCTGTTAAAATTATGTGGCAATAAGTTTTCACCAGGCCCCAAACAACCAAAATAATTGCACTGCTGTTCCATTATCAGTAACATTATTTCAAGAGGCTTGGGGTGAAGGTGGCGGAGAGGTTGCAGAAATGAGATTAAGGGTCATACATGGTCCAGTTTGTCCACCCTTGGTCTCTGCATCGGCAGCCTTAACAGAATAACAGAGTGGAAAGGATTTTGCAAGAAGGGTTCAAGTACATTTTGGCTTCCTGATATAAGATCTTCTCATCCTGTAACTGATTCAATGGCCATATTAAAATACCCGTCAATTCGATAGATCAGGGGTCGCCAACCTTTTGGACCTCAGAGACCAGCAAACTTGTAATTTTAAATCCCACGGACCAAGAGACCCTGGGAAAATCCCCCCCAAAGTCTCCAGGACAATTCCCCACCCTGTTTTCCTACTGATTGATCATTCTTTATTTGGGATCGCAGGATACCATCTCCAGCTCCATTCTCAGGGGGAGAGAGAGAGAAAGACTTTTGGCTTCATGCAAGGAAAGCAGCAGAAGCAGCAGAAGTCTTTCTTCCTCTCCCCCCAAACTCCGCCAGAAATGAGTCTTTGCCGGTGCAGCCTCTTGGAGCAGGAGGCCTTGCAGGGTCCCAAAGACTCATTTCTGGTGGAGTTTGGGGGAGAGAAAGAAAGACTTCTGCTGCTTTCCTTGCGTGCAGCCAAAAACAGAAGAAGAAAAAAGCGAAAAGAACCAGCCTAGTGGCCAGGCGAGGCATGTGGGGTGCATGGGGCAAGATCCCCCCTCCCCCCTTCCCCCCCTTCCCTCACTACCCCGTGTTGTGCGCAATGCAAGCGACGCAAACCTTGTGTTCCTGCAGGGCATGTGGGCGGCACAGCCTTGTGTTCCTGCACAGCCTGGATTAATTGCTTTGGGGTGTGATATTTCTCTGTGGACCACCAAAATTTTCTCATGGACCAGCAGTGGTCCCTGGCCCACCGGTTGGTGACCACTGCGATAGACCATATGTGAGATCTGATCCTAAGATCAGCTATAGAGGACAGAATAAGAGAGATGGAAAGGACGTTGGAGGTCTTCTGGACGTCCAATCCTAACCTGTGCTCAAGCAGGAGACCCAATACCATTCTGGACTAATGGCTATCCACTCTCCAGTGATGGAGCAACCACAACTTCCTCAGACAAGCCCTTCCACTGGTTAATGGTCTTCACTGTTAGGAAGTTTCTCCTTAGCTTTAAAGATGGTATATACATATTTCTCTCTACATAACAGAAATAGCACCAGGATTGATCCGAATGTGTTATTGGGGACTCCCCAAATACATTGGACTGCTGTAGCCATCCATTTCCCTCTGCAGTTGTGGTTTGTCAGTACTCACCTTCATGCCAGGTAGAGACCACCAATGAGGGCCAAAGAAGCAGGAAGATGAGAGACGCCTCTTGAAACATGTCTACGTTCAGAAGATGGTTGCAGCCAGCAGAGAAATACTAGCACGCCTTGGTGGTTGGTAATTCAATCTAAAACCAAAGGGAGAAAAGGGCTTGAGGTTAATACAAGAGAAAGGCAAGCAGGATGGCTGGGTAAAATATGTTAATTTGGTCTGCACATTTACTCACGGGGCAGAGGTTATGTTTCTTGTGGGAGAAGGGAGGGAGACGTGCAATAATATAAAATAACAGAACTGGAAGGGACCTTGGAGGTCTTCTAGTCCAACCCCCTGCTTAGGCAGGAAACCCTACACCATTTCAGACAAATGGTTGTCCAGTCTCTTCTTAAAAACTTCCAGTGTTGGAGCATTTGCAACTTCTGGAGGCAAGTTGTTCCAATGATTAATTGTTCTCACAGTCAGGAAATTTCTCCTTGATTCTAAGTTGCTTCTCTTAATTCTAAGTTACTTTTTGTCTTTCCCTCAGATGCTTTGGAGAATAGCTTGACTCCCTCTTCTTTGTAGCAGCCCCTGAGATATTGGAACACTGCTATCATCACCTTCTTTTCATTAAACTAGACATACCCAGTTCCAGCAACCATTCTTTATACGTTTTAGCCTCCAGTCCTTGCAAAACCAAGAATCTTTCCTGAAGTTTTTAATATTTTTACCTTTTCAAGTTCTGAATTTCAGGACTTGGCTCTGTGGCTTTTGAAAACAAATCCCAACAGGTCTTGTGGGAGAGACTCCAGATAAGTGGAAGATTACATCTAGCATCAAGCTGTTCTCCTCCTGAGAAAGTAGGAAACCCACTGAGGACCTAAGAGTAGATCCACTCAAAGAATAGATCACTACTCCAAGTTAAAGCACATGCTTACTCCATGCTTAAGGAGGCAGCATGCAAGCAATTGCATTAAATAAATACCTGCATGTAAACAGGAAGGTGTGATGTTTCCCACCTTATGCTAAGGTAGTTTGAAAGGACTTCTCCTATGAAGACGCTGCAAGGGAAAATTAGGGAGCAGAAGCTCAAAAGAAAAAGAAAAAAGCTAAATACAATAGGTCATGATTCCCTTAATTATCTAAAGAGGGAATGCTCTATAAGAATATTAAATCCACTTTCTAAGTTAGCTAGAACCAACTCTTTGCCCAAATCCTGCGATTGTTGATGAGGAGGATCAACACGACTGGATTGCTTAGAACACAATTCTAAACGTATTTGTTTTCCAACAAAATATTTGATCTGCTTCAATGGACATAATTCATTTTTCATTCCTTTTTTTTAAAGTTTCTCCTTCTTATTGCTTTACTGTGAATAACAGAGTATTTTACTGTCCACCGCAAAGCTCACATTAAGCGGCATTGCAAAACTGGCTTGGAAAAAGACCCTTTGTTCTGTTTACATAAATAAATCAGTCTGGCTGGATACAAAGCCCTTTAGATGGATTGTACTGGACATTTAGGGGGAAAGGGAAAACAAAGACTCCGGATTGCCACTGGATTGCTTCTTTCACCTTCTTTCTTCTTCTGCTTTTGGCTGTACGCAAGGAAAGCACCAAGGTTTTTTCCTTCTCTCTCCCAATCCAAGGTGATAAACTCATTCAGCCTCACTACACATCCCTATGTCTAAATGAGTAACACCCACCAAACTCACACTAAAAATAACTATCACATTATTCTCTAACCAGCATCGCCAGGTCAGTGAGTCTTACAAAATACACAATAGCAGAGTTGGAAGGGGCCTTGGAGGTCTTCTAGTCTAACCCCCTGCTTAGACAGGAAACCCGGTACCATTTCAGACAAATAGTTGTTTAATCTCTTCTTAAAAACCTCCAGTGATGGAATACCCGCAACTTCTCAAGGCAAGCTGTCCCACTGGTTAATTGTTCTCAGTCACTGACAGGAAATTTCTCCTTCATTTTAAGTCAGATTTCTCTTTTTGTTAAACTTCCTTCCACAATATCCCAACAGCTTAAAATGCCGTCTTCTGATTTTAACCATACCACCTCTTCTAAAAAAAACCCAACATCATCTGAATGATTGATGAGTTTCTTAAACAAAACAAAAGTTAAACTGCAGAACTTTGCACAGTGAGGGGGAAAAAAAGTGTATTTTTGTCTCTCTCTTACCCGTCTCTTGCAGTTGGATGTGCAGTGATCTCCCTCGGTTCCTTTCTCTCACGCCATCCAGGAAATCCGTCTTAACTCGCCGCAAACTCGCTGCAGAAACAGCCGCCTGTTCTTTGACAGGTCAGGGGGCTGGGCTAATGCTGCCCAGATGTGGGGGCAGCTGAGGCTGCCCAGAGTCTGCTTTAAGGAGGGGGGAAAAAAGAAAGAGAGAGAGAAGTGGCTAAAAGACACACGCTTTCCTAAGAGGCGCACTCAGCTCCAAGGTTGCAAAGGAAGCAGGGAAGGACCGGTTGGGAGTCTTTCCAGATGTGCAGCCTGGAGGATGTCTCGACGTGCCAAGGGAGGGTTGCAAGATCAAAGCGGCCAGCCGGGTGGACGTGTTTCTTCTCTGAACTTTTAAGTGCAATGCTCGCTTCGGTGCCAGCCTGGATTCTTCAAGGGCAGCCACGTGGGAAGAAGGCTTGACAGCTCAGTCTGGTTTGGAAGAAAGTCTAGCGTAGAACCGGTGGCTTTCAGATGTTCCCAACATTGGAGGTTTTTTTAACAGATTAACAGAGTTGGAAGGGGCCTTGCTGGCCATCTAGTCCAACCCCCCCCCACCCAAGCAGGAGACCGTACATCATTTCTGACAAATGGCAGTCCACTCTCTTCTTGTAACCTTCCAGTGATGAAGCTCACACAACTTCCAAAGGCAATTTCTATTCCATTGCTTGATTGTTCTCGTTGTCAGAAAATTTCTCCTTGTTTCTAGGTTGAATCTCTCCTTGATCAGTTTCCATCAGTTATTCCTTGTCTGGCCTTCAGGTGCTTTGGAGAATAGCTTGAACTCTTCCTCCTCTCTGTGGCAGCCCCTCAAATATTGGAAGACTGCTATTATGTCTCCCCTAGTCCTTCTCTTCCCTAGACTAGCCATGCCCAGTTCCTGCAACTGTTCATCTTATCTTTTAGCCTCCAGTCCCCTAATCATCCTGGTTGCTCTTCTCTACACTTTTTTTCTGGATTCTCAACATCTTTTTAATAGGGTGGCGACCAAAACGGGATGCAGGACTCTAGGTGTGGTCTTACTAAGGCTTTATAGAGTGGTATCGTACCTCCATAGATCTTGATTGTATCCCTCTGTTAATGGATCTTAGGATTGCATTAGCTTTTTTGGCTGCTGTTGTACATGGCTGGCTCATATTTATCTGGTTGTCCACTAAGACTCCAAGATCCCTCTCACAGTTCCTGCTATTGAGCCTGGTTTCACCCATTCTATAAGTCTTTTTAAGAAGACACTGCACAACCATTTGTCCAGAATGATATAGAGACTCTTCTGTTTAGGTAGACGGTTGGACTAGACCAGTGGTTGCCAACCAGTGGGCCGGGGACCACTGGTGGTCCGTGAGAAAATTTTGGTGGCCACAGAGAAATTTCACCCCCAAAGCAATTAATCCAGGCTTCATGGGAACACAAGGCTGCGCCGCCCACATGGCCCATGGGAACACAAGGCTTGCATCAACTTGCATTGCAAACAACACAAGGTAGTGAGGGGAGGGGGGAAGGGTGGAGGGGAAGAACTTGCCCCACTCGCCCCACGCACCTCACCTGGCCACTGGACTGCTTCTTTTGGCTTCTTTCTTCTTCTGCTTTTGGCTGCACGCAAGGAAAGCACCAGTGTTTTTTCTTTCTCTCTCCCAAGCTCCACCAGAAATGAGTCTTTGGGATCCTGCAAGGCATCCTGCTCCAAGAGGCTGAGCCATTTTGGCGGAGTTTGGGGGAGAAAGACTTCTGCTGCTTCTGCTGCTTTCCTTGCATGAAGCCAAAAGTCTCTCTTTTTCTCTCTCTCTCCCCCTGAGAACAGAGCTGGAGACGGTATCCTGCGATCCCAAGTAAAGAATGATCGATCGGTAGGAAAACGGGGTGGGGAATTTTCCTGCAGAATTTTTTGGGAGGATTTGCCCAGAGTTTCTGGTCGGTAGGATTTAAAATTATGAGTTCGGTGGGCCCTGAGGTCCAAAAGTTGGTAACCCCTGGACTAGATGACTTCTAAGGTCCCTTCCAACTTTGTTATTCTGTGATGAAGTCACTGCCTCCAACTCTAAGAAGCAGAGGGGAAGGGAGGAAGCCTGGGCAGAAATCTTTATTTATTTGCTCGCTCACTTGTTTATTTAAATGTATTGGCTGCCCAGCTCATTCTGGACAGTGTACAAAACCATAAGAAAAAACAACAATTACCGGAAAACCAGCTAAAAACTATAAACAAACAAGTAGCCCAAGCTGCTGTAAGATGATCTAGTCAAGAACGAAAGAAGGGCAAACGCTGGGGAATCAGGTTGAGACAGGCATCTTTTTAACATCTTAAAGGAGTTGGATTTGGTCGAGCAGGCAGACATTCAACAGGAAGAGCCTGGATTCAGCAGAGGAAGAAGCTGGATTTCGCCTTTCATTCGAGATGGATTTTTACAGCTGTCCCAAAGGTGCTTTTTCAAGAGGCAACTGGACTTCGTTTTTTTTTCTTTTTTTCTTTTGAAGACGTTTCGTTTCTCGTCCCACAAGCTTCTGGAGTTTTTAAGAAGAGATTGGATAACCATTTGTCTGAAATGGGTATAGAGTTTCCTGCCTAATCAGGGGGTTGGACTAGATGACATCCAAGGTCCCTTCCAACTCTGTTTATTCTATTCTATTCTATTCCATTCCATATTTTCTATTCTGTTCTGTTCTGTTCTATTCTATTCTATTCCATATTTTCTATTCTATTCTATTTTATTCCATTCCATATTTTCTATTCTATTTTATTCCATTCCATATTTTTTCTTTTTTATTCTTTTCTTTTCAATTCTCTTCTATTTTTATTCTATTCCATTCCATATTTTCTATTCTATTCTATTCTATTCTATTCTATTCTATTCTATTCTATTCTATGGCGGGCGCCATTTCACGGTGCAAACCAAGCTGCGTTTTTTTCAAAATTAGCCCCTGAACCTGCTTAAACCACGTTTGGTGGGGGGGGCGGGGAGGCAAGAGGTTGGAAAAAGCCGAAGGAGGCTCCTGCCTCCTTTCGGGATATCCCGGAATAATTCCGATTGGGGTTCGGGGTCTTCCGGAAAAGCGCTCGGCCACGCTTGACGTCGGCTTATCCTACGAAGGGGGTCCCTCCTTCGGTATCTTCCGGAGGGGCTCGGCAAATCCGCCCGTATTTGCGATTGGCCGGGAGAAGACGCCTCTTTCTCTCTTTCGGCCTTTTCCGGAAAGGCTCGGCTCGGCTCGTTCCGCCCGGGCCGGCGGCTGGAACAGTCGGAGCCTGGCTTGGTTTTGGAGTGGACGAGCGGCGGGTTCGGGCTCGGGCATGGCATCCCCATCGCGGAGGCTGCAGACCAAGCCGGTCATCACCTGCCTGAAGAGCGTCCTCCTCATCTACACCTTCATCTTCTGGGTGAGGAAGGGTCTAGGGAACAATGGGGGGCGGGGAAGAGGGTCCCTCCCTCGCCCTAGACGGAGGGGCAGGGCAAGAGGGGGGCGTCTTTCTCTCCTTTCCACCCTCACCCCCCCCCAAATTGCCTTTTGCAAAGAGAGGGGGCGCTTTTTGCAAAGAGAAGTGGAGGGCGGGGGAGAAGACTACATGCCCCATCATGTGTAGCACAGCTCAGGATGGGGCTTCTTGGTCCCACATGCCTGGAGGCAACCCGGGCATTGGCTTAGCCCCTTGTGCAAAAAAAATAAAATAAAATAAAACACAATATTCTACTCAGCAGTTTTTGAAACTTGAAAAACTTTTTGAGATGCATGGACTTCAACTCCCATAATCCCTCAGCCAGCTGATTTCTTGAAGCCAGAAGTCTCCAAAGTTGGCAACTTTAAAACTTGGGGACTTCAACTCCCAGAATCCCTCAGCCAGCTGATTTCAAAACAGGGACCCTTGCTTTGACTATGGAGTCAACAAGTTTTTGCATTTCTTAATCAGCTTGTGGCATTCCACCTGAACGCTTTTGGAAGTTGTGTGAATGGAACCCAGCCCTTGTAACTCTGGAGTCATGGCTTAATAAAGGAGGAGGGTGGACACTCAGAGAGAAGTGGTAGCTTCAGACCTTCCTTATTATCCTGCAAACTTGGGAGTTTCCAACCAGAAAAAATCAATAAATAAATAGAGGAAAGGTTATTGATGTGGCGTGAAGGGGGTGTTATTTTTTTAGTTCTCTATCTACTGATGAGATAATCCGGGAGTAATTAGGGTTCCAAGTTCAGCCTCTTATTATTTTTTTCCCTCTGCCCTTGTGCTTGATCCAGAACTTGTTGCAACCTTGAAAGCTGCAGAAAGTTTTGTAAGCTGAACCCAATTTCCACGCAGCAAGAGGACACATCTCCTTCCTCTTGTATTTTTTTAATAAGTTTTTTTTTTTAACTTGAACATATCACCTTCCATTAAACAGCATGTCGTCTGGGTACAAACATCTCCGTGCTATTACAATACAAATTTGCAATATTCATTACATTGGTAATAATTCTCTAATCTTACAATAATAATAATAATAATCAGCACTATAACTCTATTCATTTCTCCCTACTAGAATAGAATAGAATAGAATAGAGTAGAGTAGAGTAGAGTAGAATAGAATAGAATAGAATAGAACAGAAGAGAACAGAAGAGAACAGAATAGAATAGAATAATGGAATGAAGAATAGAATAGAATTCTTTTATTGGCCAAGTGCGATTGGACAAACAAGGAATTTGTCTTTGGTGTGTAAGCTCTCAGTGTACATAAAAGAAAAGATACATTCGTCAAAACCCAAGAATCATAAGGTACAACACTTAATAATTATAGGGTACAAAAAAGCAATCAAATCATATTAGGAAACAGTCAATAAAAATCGTAAGGATACAAGCAACAAAGTTACAGTCATACAGTCACAAGTGGGAGGAGATGGGTGATATGGAGTGATGAGAAGATAAATAGTGATAGTATCTTCTAATGAAAATATAATAGGTATAATCTTAACAATCATAATTATAATATTGTTTACACCTCTATCTTAACATTCTTTATTTCACTAATCTCCATTTATTTCTCACTTCTGTTTTTATTCTCCAGCCATCCCTAAAATAGCTCCCGTGCCATATAATATTCAGTTTGTTCTTTCTCCTTTATGGCAAGCGTTAATCTGTTCATTCTGCACATTCTAATCACATTCTCATCCATAAGGATCTCATCCTATTTCCCCCATCGGATAGAATAGCGGCATAAAAACAAGACTCTCTATCCTACACATACAAAAATAATGTGTATATTTTTCCTTATATTGGGAAAAAAAGAGCATTTAAAAAACGATATTGCGAAGCCCCAAAGCTACACCATCACATTTGCTACGGTGCAAAGAACAAGAGGGGAATTTCCAAGGAGTGAGGGGGCGAGGTGCCCTACGGATTATTATAATCTTCCATTTATTGTCCATTGGAAGTTACAACAGGATTGAAATCATCGGCCATCATCCAATCAGTGCCGAATAAGCTTCTTGGATGAGAAGCAAAACGCCTTGTTGTGGGAGGCTTCATCACTGGTGGCTTTCAAGAAGAAATTGGACTGCCATTGGTCAGAGATGGTGTAGGGTCTCCAGCTTGGGTGGAGGGGTTGGACTAGATGACCTACAATGTCCCTTCCAACTTTTTTTATTCTGTTCTATTATTACCACTTTTCCAATTTTGTGCAAATACTCCTTCCTCTTGTCGATGGGCCTCTGAAAGACCTTCAGGGAAGAGAAAGGAAATTCACGCTGTCCCACTTCTCAAAGGAACGCATATCCTCTCTCTTTCTCTACCTCTTCTTAGATCAGCAATAAAGTTTTTTTTCCCTTGGGGTGCAACCAGCCTGATGAAATACACCCGCAAAAAAGAGCAAAACATCCCGCTGTCCATCAACACCCACCCACGTCGAAATAGGACACTTTGAAATATTTCAGAGAATAGTTTTCGCCAGTCCTCCCTGTGCTTAGTAAACACATAATAACCTCATCGCTTTGATAAGGTTGGACCTTCAAGGAAAGGCCTCAGCTCTGAGGATATAATAAAAGGAATAGTAACCCTCTCCAATAGGTGCCAGGCCCAAGGTCTAGCACCTTTCTACGTTTCTCATTTTTTTTTCAAGTTGCCAGCTTGCTTTGCTAGTTTTTTGGGGTGGGAGGGTATGTGTGTGAATAGCCGTGTGTGGAATGCAGTCAGTAACTATGTCCTTTCCTTTTAACCTTGCTGCTCCAGGCTTTGGATTCAGGTGAGTGTGGCTTTTTCCCAGGGAGCAGCAGAGTCGGATCTATTGAATGCAAGGCGCTGTTGTTTATCTTTGCCTCTTTCCCCAGAAGAGGAATGGAAGGTGATCGGTGTACTGAATGTGGGAATGAGGGTAGGCGGGGAAGCGGGATTTCGGCAGTGGTGTTGGAGGGTGGAACCCCCAAGGGCTTAGCTTTTGAAGGACTTGTGGAAACTGGCTGTAGAGTGAGAAAAATCCTGAGATAGTAGTAGGAAGTAAAAGAGAAAACAAAGCTTCATAGAGGCCGGTTAAATCTGGTTGAACAATCTACTGTGCAATTCAATTGCACGCTTCCCATAGGATGGGGAGCATTGTTGGCCAAAAACTTTTAAAAAGTTAAAGTTTCAAAAAGTAGAACCTCTTTCTGAATCCTTAGCAAGATGACGGGCTCCATAATTTTAGGAGGCAAGGCCATCATGGATTATCAAAGCCGGTTTGGTCTAGTGGCTAAGTCACGAGGCGAGAAACCAGGAGATTTGAGATTTCTAGTTCCATCTTAAACATGAAAAGCCAGCAAGATGACTTTGGGCCAACCACCAGGAGACCGTGAGTTCTAGTCTTACCTTAGCCATGAAAGCTGATTGGGTGTCTTTGGGCCAACCACCAGGAGACCGTGAGTTCTAGTCTCACCTTAGCCATGAAAACCGATTGGGTGTCTTTGGGCCAACCACCAGGAGACAGTGAGTTGTAGTTGTGCCTTAGCCAGGAAAGCCAATTGTGTGACTTTGGGCCAGTCCTCTCTCAGCCCAATTTAGATTGTTGTTGTGGGGGGAAATAGGCAGAGGAAGGGGTATTATATATGTTTGCCACCTTGAGTTATTTATAAAGTGATAAAGACAGGATATAAAATACTATGATAAATAAATTGTACCCAGCCACGAATCTTAAGCAGGGATGTACCTGTTTTGCTTTCTCTTGTGCCACCTTTCTCAGCCCTGTCGGAAAAGATATCTGGCTTTCCTTGATGGAGTTGGCTGAAATGGCAAAACTGACTATTTTGATTAAAAAGAATAGTAATACAGTCTTAGTAGTTAATTTGACAGTGTTGTGGGAATTAGTTGTTTGGCAGAGTGATGGCACGTGGGAAAAAACTGTCCTTATGTCTAGTTGTTCTGGTGTGCGATTCCCTATAATGACATTTTGAAGGTAGAAGTTGAAACAATTTATGTCCAGGATGTGAGGGTCTGTAGATATTTTGACAACTCCCTTTTTGATTCGTGCAGTATACAGGTCCTCAATGGAAGGCAGGTTGGTAGCAATTGTTTTTTTTCTGCAATTCTAATTATCCGTTGAAGTCTTTGTCTTATTTGGTTGCAGAGTCAAACCAGATAGTGTTTGATGGTTTTGAACTTGGGTTGAAGCAGAGCTGATCCGCATCAATGCAAGGGTAGGGTAGAATCACAGAGAATTCTGCAAACAAGGGAAACATCTCCTGAAATGCTGCTCTTTTGACTCACACATTTCTTTCTTCTAACTTTCCAGTTCTCTGGCATCATCCTCCTGGGCGTTGGGATTTGGGGCAAGGTGAGCTTGGAGGTCTACTTCTTTCTACTGAATGAGAAGGCCAGCAATGTTCCTTACGTCCTGATCGGGGCAGGATTGGTGGTCGCTCTGCTGGGCACCTTTGGCTGTTTTGCGACCTGTCGCGGAAGCACATGGATGCTGAAACTGGTAATGGTTTTAAATGGCTTTTGGGTTGAACTGCAAGTAACTGGGTGGGATTTGCAATGTCAGGCCAGGTAAAAATAAGATGCAGGCATGATACTGTTGGTGGCGCACGTGGTTAGAATGCAATACTGCAGGCTACTTCTGCTGCCTGCCGGCTGCCTGCAATTTGGCAGTTTGAATCTCACCAGGCTCAAGATTGACTCACCCTTCCAGCCTTCTGAGGTCAGTAAAATGAGGATCCAGATTGTTGGGGGCAAGAGGCTGATGCTGTAAAGCACTGTGAAGCGGTATATAAGTTTTAAGTGCTATTGCTATTGCCCTTTCTTCCTTCCTTCCTTCCTTCCTTCCTTCCTTCCTTCCTTCCTTCCTT